ATCAAAGACTACAGCCTTCAGTATGGATTACACCTTAACATAAAGAAAGCAAAAATCCTCGCAACTGGACCAATAAGCAGCGTCGTAATAAGTGGAGAAAAGATTCAAGTTGTCAAGGATTTCCTTTCAGTTGGATTCACAATCAACAACCATGGAGGCAGCAGTCAAGAAGTCAAAAGACACATTGCATTGGGCAAATCCGCTGCAAAAGAACTCTTTAAAGTGTTAAAAAGCAAAGATGTCATCTTGAAGACTAAGGTGTGTCTGACCCAAGCCATGGTGTTTTCAACCACCTCATGTGCATGTGAAAGCTGGACAGTGACTAAGGAAGATCAAAGAATTGACACCTTTGTGGTGCTGGCGAAGAATACTGAATATACCATGGACTTCCAAAAAAATGAACAAATCTGTCTTGGAAGAAGTACAACCAGAATGCTCTTTAGAAGCAAGGATGGTGAGACTATGTCTCACGTACTTCGGACATGTTATTAGGAGCAATCAGTCCCTGGAGAAGGACATCATGCTTGGTAGAGTAGAGGGTCAGCAAAAAAGAGGAAGACCCTCAATGAGATGTACTGACACTGTGGCTGCGACAGTTAGTTCAAGCATAACAATGATTGTGAGGATGGTGCAGGACTGGGCGGTGTTTCATTCTGTTGTTCACAGGGTTACTATGAGTCAGAACCAACTCGATGGCACCTAAGAACAACAACAATCAGGCAAAGAACATGATCAGTTGCAGTGCTTGCAGAGGGCAAAGGGAACATGAAATGGGTGGTGGAAGAAGGTAGTTAGTTCTAAATACCAGCCAAGACCTTGTGACCAGTTGCAGAAATGAGGACTGTCATTATTATGAATATTCCTTCCTTGTATGTTTGCATTCAAATATTTTTCTTTCACTCATAAAATACAAGATTTAAATAGGGCCAGCGCATTTTCCATTGTACGCACGTTAGCTGTGTCATGTTAGACGCACGTATGACTTTGTAATTGTCTTTATTTACAAATTGTGTATGGTTTAAGGAGATGGGTCCAGGTGCCAACTTGACAAGAGGTGGACTGTGATGGTTAAGGTTGTGTATCAACTTGTTGGGCCATGATTCTCAGTCATTTGGCAGTTATGTAATGATATGGTTTAGCACTTATGTAATGATGTAGTTATCCTCCATTTTGTGATATAATGTAATGATGTTCATGATGTGATCTGATATGATCAGACAATCAGTTGTAAGGGGAGTTTCCCTGGAGGTGTGGCCTGCATCCAATATATATGGATGTTCTGGGAAAGCTTGCTGCCTCTGCAGCCCGTGAGTCAGCAGCCTGCCATCTGACCTGCTGTTCTTGGGTTCGTTAGCCCCTGCTAGCTACATGAGGCAGGAGAACCCTCCAGCCTGATGCCTGACCCCTGGACTTGGGGCTTTCCAGCCTCTACAACCACGTGAGCTGTTTCCATGAGAGAAATCTCTAAGTTTCAAATAAAAGTATGTATGTATGTATGTATGTATACACATCACTGGTTTTGCTTCTCTAAAGAACCCAGCCTAAGACAGCCTGTGTTTTAACAGCTCTTCTCATATGTTGCTGGAGGAGTGAATTTTGAGAAATTTAGAAACAAGTTGGTGTTCTTTAAACTTAGTGCTCAAGGAAACCATATACCTTGTTTGACTTCTCTGTGCAGGTGATGGAATTCCTAAACCGGAACTAATATCCTGGATTGAACAGGGTAGAGAGCCCTTCAGGAATTGGGGAGAATCACAGAAATGTGAAAACATAATTTGCTCCTCTGCTAATATACATTTTGATACAGTTCTTGAAGGACAGCTGTTTTGGGGTGAGTATTAAGAAATTGGAGTCTGGCCCTTAAGATACCACATTTAGTTTCTTAGTTCCCATTCTCTGATTTTGTGTTCCTGTTCGGCTGGGATGAGGCTTGCCATCTGATACATTCTAAAGAAGTCCCTGGGTGGTGCAAATGGTTAAGTCCTAGAAAGGTTGAGTTTGAATCCATGCAGAGGCATTGCGGAAGAAAGGCCTGGCGATTCTGAAAGGTCACAGCCTTGGAAACCCTACTGGAGCAGTTCTGCTCTGCACACTTGGGATTGCCACGAGTCAGAATCGACTCCACGGCAACTGACAATAACAGTGACGTATTCTCATCTTGGCAGTTCGCAGTGCAGGTGGTTAGGAGTGTAGGCCCTGGAGCCGGAGTCTGGATCTTGCCTCTGCTGGTGACCTTGGACAAGTTATTCAACCTGTCTGTACTGTAGCTTCCTGATCTATAAAATGAAGACAGTAAAAGTACCTACATGATGGGATTGTCATGAGGATTAAACTGATAAATGTATGTAACTTGTTAAGATGACACGTGGCACACAGAGCTCAGTTAAGTTATTCTTACCAGTGAAAGGGAAAGCACAAAATCAGAGGCTGGTTACCTGCAGCCTTGTGACCTAAACTGCTCCCTTCCTCCCTGGAGACTGCCATTTGCTTCTGAATGCTTAAACATGAGCTCTCCTGTGTTTCTTAGTGTGATGGGCGCATCTGATATTTTTGGATTCTTGAAAGTATCAAAGTATGGCCTGAGAAGGTCAACTGGGGGCATCACTGGGACTCAGATGCAGGCAGGGTCCGGAGTCAGGCTCTACACGGGCCTATGTTTTCCTGCCACCAGGTCCAGAAGTGCATGTGGCTGGGTGCTCAGGGGCGCTGGCAACATAAGCCCTTGGTTGTGCCCAGGCGTAGATGGGAATGCTGACTGCACTTTCGTTTCCAGTTTCAGGGTGCTGGCCAGCTGTGAAGGCAGGAGAGAGAGAAGGCCATTTCCTGCGACAGCCTTCACACAGCCGGTATTCCTTTGGAGCCTTACTAGGAAAAGGGGAAGAGGAGTCCTTCCCACCTGACGCTGTTCACACTCTCAGGAGATCCCACAGAAGCGACATCCTGGTGCCGCCTCCAGCTGCCCGCAGCTCCAGGGAGGTGCCTGGAAGGGATGGAGCCCCGGGCCGCGTCTGCGGGGAGAAGGGCGGCAGGCAGGGCCTTGCTGGGACCGGCCTGCAGGCCAGGCCGCGTCGGCTCCAGGGTGGCCGGGCCTTCCCCTGGGAGCTGGGTATGCAGCGGCCCTTGGCAGCGCCTGTGTGGGAGGCCCCAGCCCAGCACCCGGAGCCTGCTGTGCGCTCCGGCCCAGGTGGGCCCCGGGCGGAGAATCCCGTGCAGGTCTCCCAGCGTGGCCCACACTTTCCACAGAGGAGCGGTGGGCAGGCCTCCTGGGGGAAACACCCGAGGCCGGCGGCCACTGAAGGAGCTGTGCCCCCGGGGCTGTGCCTAGGGAAGGAGACGGCCTGGGATCCCGGCGCAGGCAGGAGGCGGGACTTGGAGGCGTCCCTATCTTGCAGGGATTGTGGCTGGAGGCTTACCGGGCTTTGCGGACCTCCGGGGCTCGGCCAAGCCCGCGGCACGGACCAGCCCTCCTGTTGTGCGGCGTGTGGCAGGAACACCCACCCCAGGGCACAGCGTCCTGGCTCTGGCGACAGGCTGCTCCCGGGCACTGAGTGTGGCGTGTACTTCCAGCTGCGGGCCCACCCGCGGCGGTACCGGGGCACGCGGCCCTTCTTGTGCGCCCAGTGCGGCCGGCGCTTCACCCACCGTTGCAAGCTGCGCGAGCATGAACGCGTGCACAGCGGCGAGCGGCCCTTCCAGTGCGCAGAGTGCGACAAGACCTTCCGCCTCAAGGGCATCCTGAAGGCCCACCAGCGCACGCACAGCGAGGAGAGGCCCTTCTCCTGCGGCCAGTGTGGCAAGGGCTTCACGCGGCAGTCGAAGCTCACGGAACACCTCCGCGTGCACAGTGGGGAGAAGCCCTTCCTGTGCCCCGAGTGTGACCGCAGCTTCCGCCTGAAGGGCCAGCTGCAGAGCCACCAGCGCCTGCACACGGGAGAGCGGCCCTTCCCATGCCCCGAGTGCGGCAAGTGCTACCGGGTGAAGGCCGACATGAGGGCACACCAGCGCCTGCACGGTGGTTCCATGCCCTTCTCCTGCGAGTGCGGCAAGGGCTTTGCCAAGCAGTCCAAGCTGGTGGAACACATCAGGATACACACAGGTGAGAAGCCCTTCCAGTGCCGCACGTGTGACAAGAGGTTCCGCCTGAAGGCACAGCTGCTCAGCCACCAAGGCCTGCACACGGGGGAGAGACCTTTCCACTGCCCCGAGTGCAATAAGAACTTCCGGGAAAGGGCCCACATGCTGAGGCACCAGCGCATCCACAGGCCCGAGCGGCCCTTCTCCTGTGGGGACTGCGGCAAGGGCTTCATCTATAAGTCTAAACTCGCGGAACACACCAGAGTGCACACCAAGTCCACCAGTGTGCAAAGTGAGCCTGAGATTAAGAAAAGGCTTAGTCAGCTATTTGCAATGATAGAGGCCGACTGGAGTTGAGGCAGGCAAGGCAGAATTGACACTGCCTGGGAATCCACAGCAACAGTAGCCAAAGCCAGCTGGTAGACAGATTTTCTGAAAAGGGCCCTCTCTGAGCAAGAATGTAACACCAAGCCCACTGCCATGGAGTTGATTTCGACTCATAGCAACTCTACAGGACAGAGTAGAACTTCCGCATAGGGTTTCCAAGGCTGTAAATCTTTACAGAAGCAGACTGCCACATCATTTCCGCAGCGCGCTCATGGTTTTGGCTAGCAACCAAGTGCTTTAAACACTGTGCCACTAGGGCTCCTTAAGAATGTACTGCTACTTAGGAATATGAGAAACCACAAAGAATTTAAAACATAACCAGTTGTATTTCTTATCCATTGATAAAAAAGAGACATTTACCCTTTCTTCATTGTCATGGATTGAATTATGTCCCCCCAAAAATGTGTTCTCAGTTTGGCTGGGCCTTGATTCCTGGCATTGTGTGATTTCCCTGTATGTTGTGAATCCTGCCTCTGTGATGTTAACGAGGGAGGATGGGTGGTAGTTGTGTTAGTAAGGCAGGACTCAGTCTACAAGATTGGATTGTGTCCTGAGGCAATCTCTTGAGATATAAAAGAAAGAAGTGAGCAGAGAGATACGGGGACCTCATACCACCAAGAAAGCAGTGCCAGGAACAAAGCGTGTCCTTTGGACCCGGGGTCCCTGCACACAGAAGCTCCTAGTCTGGGGGAACATTGATGAGAAGGCCGACAGAGAAAGCCTTTCTGTGGAGTTGATGCCCTGAATTTGGACTTTTAGCCTACTTTACTGTAAGGAAATAAATTTCTCTTTGTTAAAGCCATCCACTTGTGGTATTTCTGTTGTAGCAGCACTAGATGACTAAGACAATCATCTTAAGTGGTAATTTTCCCCCAAACGCTAAGCCAGCTCTGAAATCCCAGCTTGAATTAAGACAGGAAATTCCTCCAGTACCACTGTCAAAGCTGAAAGGATCTGGGTGGCTATCAAATGTTAACTCTACTGTTTTTTTTTTCAGAGTATGATCCTAAACTGTGGGTTTAAATCCAGTGAGTTTTGTCACAGGTGTTGAGATGACACTGGATTTGTTTTTGATTCATTTCTTTTAAAGCCATTTGATAACCGTGAAATCGAGTTCTCTGAATCCTGGTTTGTCTGCTTACATGAATGCCGAAGTCTCACAGCAGGTTCCACTGTGATTATGTGTAGTTCCTCGTAAGGAAAAGCTGGTTATTCTAGAAAAGTCTGCTAATCTGAGTTGGAAGAAACACACCTAAAGGTGCTATGTTTTTACAGAACGAGAACTTGGACGAGAGATTGGGGCAGGAGAAACAGATTTGGGAATTCCAGAATAGAGATGCGATTTGAAACGAGAAAGTGAATGAGATTCTCAAGAGTGAGTATCTAAGCACGTGGCCAAAAACTGAGTTAAGACAAGATAATGAAGCTAAACAGCTTTATCAGGAAGCACTACAGCCAACAACAGTTTAGCACGGAGAATTTTCAAGCAAATGTTGAAAATGAACATAATGCAAGAAGCCCAGGAAAAGGGTGAAGGCTACCTCATTTGTTGGATTCGGTGGTATGAACACCAAATGTTTATACTCCAGGGGCAGAGCTGTACTCCGTACAAAGAATTCCTAACCTACAGAGGGTTCGTGTTTAATGTATAACGGCTGGACTGAAATTCTGAAGGAAGAAAATGAGATTGTCAGTAATCCGTAATAAACATTATTATAAAACAGTATTTCCCAAATGGTTGTCTGTGGAACATTTGCTCCAAAGACATTCTGCAAGAAAAAAAAAAAAAATGTGGCCAGATAGTTTAAATAAACAGTCCCTCCCCACCACCACAGAATCTCAAACATGTTTCTGTGCATTGTGAATCTCCAAGAGGGAGATATGTGTGCAGTATATTCTGAATATATTTGACCTTAGGATCCTTTTCTTCAAAAAACACAATGATCTTCTAGAACAAGAGTTCTGCAGGACTCATTTTCAAAAACACTGTTAAAGCAAAGTAGTCTTCTGTTGAGAAGAATGAGAATCCCAGGAAATGACGGTCTTAGATTTTAAGTGACAAAGAAAACATACCTTTAAGTTAGAATAAATTTTTAGTTGGTGTTAGCATTCTTCTCTGTATTTTCCAAATATCTGGCGATTAACATGTATTACTATTTTAAATACCCCATATGTCTTATTAGTTATCTAGTGCTGCTATAACAAAAACCATGAGTGGATGGTTTTAACAGACAAATTTATTCTCACAGTCTAGGAGGCTAGAAGTCCGAAGTCAAGGTGCCAGCACCACGGAAATGCTTTCTCTGTTTGCTCTGGGAGAAGATCCTCGTCATCAATCTTCCCCTGGTCTGGGAGCTTCTCAGCACGGGACCCCAGGGCCAAAGGACATGCTCTCCTCCTGATTCTTCATTCTTGGTGGTAGGAGGTCCCCCTGTCTCTCTGCTCACTTCTCTCTTTTATCTCAAAACAGATTGACTAAAGATACAACCTAATCTTGTAGATTGAATCCTGCCTCATTAACATCATAGACGTAGGATTCACAACACCTAGGAAAATCACATCATCTGCCGTAATGGTGGATAATCACACAATACTGGGAATCATGGCCAAACCAAGTTGACACATTTTGGAGGGACACAATTCAATCCATAACACCATGAAAAGCTCATATTACTTCTCTTTTGATAAATCTAATAGACATTGTTGTTCCTTGTATTACTTGGTATCTTTTTCATGAAAATTTTCCACAGAAGAAATGATCTCTCTTACCTCTCTTGCATCCTTTATCAATCCCTGAAATGTCTGCATCTTCCACATTCTTTTCACACAACACACTCTCCGTGGGTGATTTCATTCACTCAGAGCTTCACTTACTATTCATACACTTATTGTTGTTAGGTGCCCTCGAGTCAATTCTGACTCATAGTGACCCCACGTACGAAAGAATGAAACACTGCCCTGTCCCAAGCCATCCCCACAAACGTTATTATGCTTGAGCCCATTGTTGCAGCCACTGTGTAAATCCATCTCGTTGAGGGTCTTCCTCTTTTTTGCTCTCTACCAAGCGTGATGTCCTTCTCCAGGGACTGATCCTTCCTGATAACAGGTCCAAAGCACATGAGACAAAGTCTCACCATTCTTGCTTCTAATGAGCATTCGGGCTGTACTTCTTCAAAGACAGATTTGTTTGTTCTTCTGGCAGTGCATGGTATATTCAATATTCTTCACCACCATAATTCAAAGGCATCAATTCTTCAGTCTTCCTTATTCATTGTCCAGCTTTTGCATGCATATGAAGCAACTGAAAACACTATGGCTTCGGTCAGGTGCACATTAGTCCTTAGAGTGACATGTTTGCTTTTTAACACTTTAAAGAGATCTTTTGCAGCAGGTTTGCTCAATGCAATGCATTGATTTCTTGACTGCCACTTCCATGGGTGTTGACCGTGGACCCAAGTAAAATGAAATCCTTTACAACTTCAATATTTTCTCCATTTATCTTGATGTTGCTTATTGGTCCAGTTGTGAGGACTTCTGTTTTCTTTATGTTGAGGTGTAATCCATACTGAAGGCTGTAGTCTTTGATCTTCATCAGTAAGTGCTTCAAGTCCTCTTTACTTTCAGCAAGCAAGGTTGTGTCATCTGCATATCGCAGGTTGTTAATGGGTCTTCCTCCAATCCTGATGCCCTATTCTTCTTTGTATAGTCCAGCTTCTCAGACTATTTGCTCAACATACAGAATGAATAAGTATGGTGAAAGGATACAACCCTGACACACACCTTTCCTGACTTTAAGCCATGCAGTATCCCCTTGTTCTGTTCAAACAACTGCCTCTTGGTCTAAGTACAGGTTCCTCATGGGCACAATTAAGTGTTCTGGAATTCCCATTCTTCGCAATGTTGTCCATAATTTGTTGTGATTACACAGTTGAATGCCTTTGCACAGTGAATAAAACACAGGTAAACATCTTTCTGGTATTCTCTGCTTTCAGCCAGGATCCATCTGACATGAGCAATGATATCCCTGGTTCCACATCCTCTTCTGAATCTGGCTTGAATTTCTGGCAGTTTCCTGTTGAACTGCTACAGCTGCTTTTGAATGATCTTCAGCAAGATTTTATTTGTGTGTAATATTAATGATATTGTTCGATAATCTCTGCATTCTCTTGGGTCATCTTTCTTTGGAATGGGTACAAATATGGATCTCTTCCAGTCAGCTGGCCAGGTAGCTGTCTTCCAAATTTCTTGGCAGACAAGTGAGCACTTCCAGCGCTGCATCCATTCGTTGAAACATCTCAATTGGTATTCCGTCAACTCCTGGAGCCTTGTTTTTCGTGCTTTCAGTGCAGCTTGGACCTCTTCCTTCAGTACTGTCGGTTCCTGATCATATGCTACCTCTTGAAATGGCTGATCATCAACCAATTCTTCTTGGTATAATGACTCTGTGTATTCCTTCCATCTTCTTTTGATGCTTCCTGCATCGTTTAATATTTTCCCCCACAGAATCCTTCACTTTTGCAACTCGAGGCCTGAATTTTTTCTTCAGTTCTATCAGCTTGAGAAATGCTGACCGTGTTCTTCCCTGTCAGTTTTCTATCTCCAGCTCTTTGCACATGTCATCATAATACTTTACTGTCTTCTCGAGCCACCCTTTGAAATCTTCTGTTCAGTTCTTTTACTTCATTATTTCTTCCATTTGCTTTAGCTACTCAACATTCAGGAGCAAGTTTCAGAGTCCCTTCTGAGATCCATTTTGGTCTTTTCTTTCTTTCCTGTGTTTTTAATGACCTCTTGCTTTATTCATGTATGTTGCCCTTTATGTCATTCCACAACACTTCAAAGAGGTCTGGTCTTCGGTCCTTAGTGTTCAACATGTCAAATCTATGTTTGAGATGGTCTCTAAATTCAGGTGGGATATCCTCAAGGTTGTACTTCGGCTCTCGTGGACTTGTTCTAATTTTTTTCAGTTTCGACTTGAACTTGCATATGAGCAATTGATGGTCTGTTCCATAGTCTATCCCTAGCCTTGTTCTGACTGGTGATATTGAGCTTTTCCATCATCTTTCCACAGATGTAGTTTATTTGGTTCTTGTGTATTCTGTCTGGGGAGGTCTACGTGTATAGTTACCGTTTGTGTTGTGGAAAAAGGTATTTGCAATGAATAAGTCATTGGTGTTGCAAAATTCTGTCATGGGATCTGCAGCATCATTTCTATCACCAAATCCATATTGTCCAACTACCAATCCAACGTCTGCATTTGTTTCCAAGTTTTGCATTCCAATCACCAATAATTATCAATGCATCTTGACTGCATGTTTGATCAATTTCAGACTGCAGAAATTGGTAAAAATGTTCAATTTCTTCATCTTTGGCCTACACTAATAGTGCCTCATTAACATAACAAAGAAAACCCATTCCCAAATGGGATTATAACCACAGGTATAGGGGTTACAACACATATTTTGGGGGGACACAATTCATTCCATAACAATGACCAAGTGGGGTTCATCTCAGGAAGTTGTTTGGTTTAATATTTGAAAAATCAATCAATAAAATAAACCATATTAGAGACTAGAAAACCATATGATCATCTCAACAGATGCAGCAAATTGATTTGATAAAATCCAACAACTATTCCTGACAAAAAACTTTAAGAATATTAGAAAAAGAAAAGAACTTCCTCAACCTGATACAGGGCATCTACTAAAAACTTATAGCTAACATCATACATACCACCACCTGTCTGTTTTTTATACTGTGGTCGCTTGCATGTGGCTGTGATGGTAGAAGCTATGCTACTGGTATTTCAAATACCAGCAGGGTCACCCATGGTGGTCAGATTCTGCTTGAAAGAGAATGATCTCAGAATCATGAGAAGGTCATCAGGACCATTCCCGTGTTCTTCAATATATACAAAAATTTGGTTCATCTCACATGACGGAATTCAACAAGGTTGACCATTAGCTTCAAAATCCTATAAGGCATGCAGATGGTGGGTCTGCGTGGTGTTAGCTGACAGTTTTCTAACCATGTGTTCTCTCCCTGTGATGGCTGATGTAAGTGCCGGGATTGGTAATGACTTTGCCAAAGATGCCCCTGGAGACAATCTAGATGGGGAGGATTATTTCCCATAGGCCTCATCTCTAGGGAGTGCTTTGGTGAGAGTGGAGAGAAAGCACCATTTAAATGACCTGTAAACAATGCCTGAAAACAGCCCTGGGGACAGCCAGGCACATTTATTTATATGAATGAGTTTCCAAGCTGGGGTCCACTTAAAATGACTGTTTATGGAGATCTTGGACATAGCACAAAAATATCCCTTTCCATTCTGAGCCTCAACACGGAGGTCTCCCAGCCTGCTTGTACACATAACTAAATGAAATGAGATTTAGGGATAGAGAAGGAAGGAGAGGCTTTTCAACTCAATAACGTTTTGTTGTTGAATGAACTTCTGCTATACTCTAAATGCTTTTAAAAAGAACATACTGCTTTAATTTCACAAGTAATATGATATTGACTTCTTATATACAATACTGAGGTCACAGCTTTCTTTCGTATACATGTTGTTGTCAGGTGCTGTCGAGCTGGTTCTGACTCATAGCAACCCTGTGCCCCACAGCAGGAAACACTGCCCGGTCCTGCCCTAACCTCACAATCGTCGTCGTGCTTCAGCCCCTTGTTGCAGCCACTGTGTCAGTCTATCTTGTTGAGGGTCTTCCTCTTTTTCTCTGACCCTCCACTTTACCAAGCATAATATCCTTTTCCAGGGACTGGAGAATATATACGTATATTCATATACGTATTTGTATATATTTCATACACACACACACACAGCATTTTAACGGGTTTCTTCCCATACCTTGTATCAACAACGGGCCTTAGTAAATTTGGTTGTATTTGTCCCACATCTGGGTAAATGGGTCCTCATTTCTGTTTAATAATCCATAGGAAATAATCAAGAAAGACAAAAATTATGACTGGGTTCTGTCTTTTTGAAGGATTCTTTAAAATGATATTGAACTATTTGATATTCTACATTCACAGCACTGTAATAAATCACTCATTGTATACTGTGCCGGGTATTAAAGTTAATTGCGTGTTTTCCTGCCTTACAAAATTGTGGAAGAGGTATCGGATTCATAGAAGTTCTGTAAACATCTACTGAATTAAATTTTCTAATTGATCTCCAACCCCAAGCCCTCTGAGATAGTGATCTGCTCCGATTCTTGATGTCCTTACAGTGCCTGGCAGAGACTTTGATAAAAGCACGGCATGTATGTATCCCTTTTTAAAATCTGGTTTCTCTGCAGCTCAAGACCTAAAGCTGAGATAATCAGATGCTCTAAGGCTGTGTGGTCTTCTCTGTGTAAGTGTGCATTCTCCACCCCACTCCAATCTTTGGCAATATTCATGCTCTGGCTTTCCCTGCCTCCCTGTGTCTTCATCTTAAGGCAATGCCCATCCTTTACCCCGTCTTCCATTTATACAAACTCCTCACAGGAAGAGTTTAAATTTCATTCATCTAGAAAAACATTATGAGACATCATGCTTGGTAAAGCAGAGGGTCAGCGAAAAAGAGGAAGACCCTCAACGAGATGGATTGACACAGCGGCTGCAACTATGGGTTGAAGCATAACAATTATGATGATGGCACAGGACCGGGCAGTGTTTCCTTCTGTTGTACACAGGGTCACTATGAGTCTGAACTGACTCCACCACACTTAACAGCAATAAAGAAAAACAACAGGAATGAGTTACTTGCTCAAATAGATTACCCTCTTTGATTACTCAAATATTTTATAAATATGTTTATAATTACTTAATTGCGTTTAGCCCAAAGAATAAAACTGTATTAAAAGATAAGGGTTTAGAGAGTCAGAAGAAAAGATGCCAAAGGAAAGCTTAGAAGAAAGGCTGGACCTGATAACTAGAAGCTGAAGAGACCGGAATAGGAATTGCTAGTCTGGGCGGCCCGCTCTTTCGTCCTCACTTACTGATCCGCACAGACAGGAAAACGTCTGGTTTCTTCAGTCCGGCTAGAGTTTTGGCCTCCTTGTCTCGTATATTCTTCAGGCACAACAGACCTTGACCCGAGGCACCGCCCAGGTTTTTCCCCGACGTACAGAAGCGCTCATCTCGGCTCACGCCCTCCTCCTCGCGGCCAGAGGGAAAAACCTCAGCACGTATCCAGGCCGACGTAACCACACACGCCCCCAGCACGTGCGCCCGCGCAGCTCCGCAACCGGAGTGGGGTCGCGCGCATCCACGCGGCTTCGGCTCCGCCCGGCCCGCCGCCACTCTGCCAGCCAATGGCGTCACGAGGGGTCTCCTGACCCGCCCCCCAACGCTGCCGGCCAAAGGCGCCGGAGGAGTCGCTCTTCCACTCCTCCTCTCCCGCTGCACCCCGCCCCCGACGCTGCCGGCCAATGGATTCACTAGGCGTCTCCCCCAATCCTGCCTGCCCCCCCCCACCATGCTTCCAGCCAATGGCGAAGCGAGGCATAGCGCAACGGGAACCGATTAGCGCACCACGCTGCCGGCCAATGGCGCCCCGAGGCATATTCTGACCCGCCCCGCACACCTCGCTGCCGGCCAATGATGCCCCGGGTCGTCTCCCGACCTCGCTCCGCCCACCCCGCTGCTGGCCAATGGCGCCACGAGGCATCTCCCGGCCCTGCTAGGTCCGGTCGATGTAGCTTTTCCAGCTTTGTCTCGGTCCTTCTGCGCGCGTCAGCTCCCAGCTATCCGAGTGGCAGCCCTTGATTGGCGGTCGCGGCGCAGCCAATCGGAAGTGGGCACCTCACGTTTCGGCCACAGAAGAGGAAGTGCGGGTGCACGGGGTGTCAGTGAGTCGCGCGTCGGAGGAGCGGGGCCTTGAGTCGAGAACTGGGCAGCCGCCGCCATGCGGCCGGGGACTGTGCGCCTTCTCCTCCTGCTCCTGGCGCTTGCGCAGCTGCTGGCCGTGGCGTGTGCGCAGGAGCCGGACGCAGGTGAGCTGGCGGCTTGTGGGCAGGTGCTGGGGACGCCGCAGGTGAGCAGAGAGGGCGCGGGTGAGAGCACAGGTGAGCGGGCAGGTGAGCAGGGAGGGCACGACTGAGCAGACCAAGGAGGGGTGCTGGGGCGGGGCTGTCAAACGGGGTCCCGAGGAGGGCGCGCCCCGGAGCGCGAGGGCGTGAGGACCCGTGCGCGCATGGACGGCACCTGTACTTGTAGCACTTCGGTCGGCGGAATTGGAGCGAGCCGACCAAGGGTTCTGGGTTGAGTGAAGAAGGGACGCTGTTCGCGTCCTTTGGAGACCGGAGGCGCCATCCTTTTGGCTCGGGTGCAGGCCCTCCCGCGAGGCCCTGCGCAAAGCGGCCGCGCCGGCAGGACGGACACCCAGGATGTGGCCACAGGTCAGCGTCCCTGCCGCCTCTTTCTGACATGATCTAGCGGAACCAGGGAACTTTGAAAATTTGACGGAGAGCTTACTAGGAGATAGCGCGCTTTATTACTGCCCTGAACTGCCCTCCATTCTGCTCTTTCTGTTCATCACTAGTTTTTTCTTTGAGGGTTTGTGCCAAAGTAAATAAACCCGTTTTTCAGTATTCTTCTGCAGGGAAGCGCGAACTTTATACTCTTCAAACAGACTGAGTAACTTGTGTGTGCAGGTCACCCACCAGCTCAGAAGTCTTTACCCAAAGTGAAACCAGCACGTGATGGAAACACCTGTTTCTGCTAGTGTTGCCCACAAGTGTGTTTCAGGATCTTGGACGCCCCAGTCACCTGGGATGATTTCAGTGCGGACTCACAGAATATACTCAATCAGGAGGGCGGCAGGACTCTGTATTTTAAGTAGTTCCTTCTTGATTCCCAGGCAGAAGAAAATGAGAAGCACATTAAGTCTGAGGTCCGGTGTGGAGAGAAGGTATCTTTTGGAACTACATGTAGCCAATAATCAGAATAACTTTGTCTTCGTTTGGGTCCAGCAAACACGCTCGTCTCAGTTTCTTAGTGTTACTGTAACACAGATACCACAAGTGGGTGGTTTAAAGAATAGATGCAAATTTTCTACAGTTCGGGAGGGTAGAAGCCCTAATTCAGGGCACTGACTCTAGGGGAAGACTCTCTGTTGGCTATGGGGGAAGGTCCTTGTCTCAGGATCTCTTCTTCTGTTCCTTGGCGATCTTCTCTTCATGTGGCATTTTTTCCCTGTTTGTGGTTCTCATTTCTGTGCTGCTGCTTATATCTCAGAAGTGATTAGGTTTAGGATATGTCCTGTACCGATAGAGTCTCAATCGCTTGACAAACGTATCTTATTTCTGAAGGAGATTAATTCAGGTATACCAAAACCCGTTGCTAAGTCAATTCTGAGTTATAGCAACCTTGTAAGACAGAGTAGAACTGCCCCATAGGGTTTCCAAGGAGTGGCTGGTGGATTCAAACTGCCAGCCTTTTGGTTAGCAGCCAAATTCTTAACCACTGTGCCACCAGGGCCCCAGTTCAGGTATAGGGGTTACGATATTTTGGGGGACACAATTCAATCCATAACACTGCTTTTGGAGGGTTCTTGAGAGGCCTGGGGAGTGCAGCAAACTGGGGTGTACCTCCAGGGTGATGGGACGTGCAGGTGTATCTACCCTAGTGCCCGTGCTGTGGGTCAGAGATGGCTAATGCAGGAGAGATGGAGGGGGGCAGCTGCCTCTGGGGTGAGTCCAGGATGCCTGGGTTGTCAGGCTCCCAGGGAGTGTCCTCTGGGGCAGGGTGGGGCTTCCAGCCCATACCTTAATTCTTTTAACTCTGAGGGCATCCTGGTCTTTTCATTTCAGTAAATCAATAAAACAGGTATATTTGGGGGCTACACCACTTACCCCCACGCCAGATATTGTAAGCCGTGATCTTTTCCTGTTTTGTTTTGTTTTTTGTATTTCTTACATTTTAGGTTCAAACATCATAGTAGTATTTGGGCACCTAAATGTCTCCAAAATACAGTCACTAATAGAGCTCAGACTCTGATAACTCAAACCTCAGGTTGCCCGCCACCCCCTCCACTTCCTCCTTTCTCCCGCTCCATCTCCTCTGCCACCCCCTCCACTTCCTCCTTTCTCCC